CCTCATGCATGGGGGTCCTGCAGAGAAATCCGGGGAACTAAGCATCGGGGACCGGCTCATGTCCGTCAATGGGACCAGCTTGGTGGGGCTGCCTCTCAGCACGTGCCAGAGCATCATTCGGGTGAGGCTTGGGGCGGGATAGTTCAGCACAGGAGCCACAAGAACATAGGGCTGTGTGCTCTCCTGCCACTGGTGCTGGCTAGCTCACAGGGCTTCCAAGCCAGGCTGAGCACTGTGGGCCAGTGTACTGCCTTGGCAGGTGGTCCTGTAGCAAACAGGACGAGAGGGTGAGTGTTGTGTGGGTGGGGACAGCCAGCTGCTCTGCAGAGGAAATCTCTTGTTGGACTAGTAGCACGTTGAGCCGTGGATGTCACTAGTGCTTAGTTTGGGCCTCTGGTTGGGGAGCAGGGGAGTGGTGGGACCAGTGGTCCATTGGGAGTAAGAAGAGGACAGTGAGGTGAGGGCACAGGGGAGTGTGAGGGGACAAGGACAGTGAGGTGAAGGGCATCCTTGGAGAGAGTCATCCTCTTCCCACTGGGGAGGTCGAAACACTTTGTGCCCAGATCCTGAGGATCCAGAGACCTGGGGGAGAGCATCCCAGCACTGTGGGGACAGAGCCTAGGGTAGAACCTGTGGGGCTGGGGCAAGGAGGCTGGGACTACTTGGATGACCCCTGCAAGCATGTACGGACCTGGGAGCCAGGAGTCCCTTACTGTGAACTGGGACTGGGGTTGTTCAGTCCCCTGAAACAGCTCTCAGGGGAGCTCAGGAGTCTTTCTCCTCCCTTCTTGATTCTGGCAGGACCTGAAGCACCAGACAGAGGTGACCCTGAGCATCGTGCACTGCCCCCCTGTCACTACAGCGATCATCCGCCGCCCAGACTCCAAGTACCAGCTGGGCTTCTGCGTGGAGAATGGCATTGTGAGGAGGGGAGCACGTGAGGGCTGGAGCCTTGGGGAAGTGTGGGGGAGGACTGCTGCCTGGTTCACCCAGCCCGGTTCACCTGTGGTCTGAGCTGCAACTCCAGACGCCCCTTCTGTGCCCAGGCAGACCAGGGGAAATAGAACAATGCTGTGGTCAGTGGCCCAAGAGACCTTTCTGGCCCTGAAAGAAGCAAAAACTTAAGACCTGCTGCTCCGGGTGTGCTGGCCGCTGTCCTTGGTGTTGGAGGGGGATCTCTCAGCCAGAGGAACCCTACAGATTGTGGCTTTGTGTTACTAATGGCGGCTTCCTGCTGCAGGAGAACTGTTTCCTGCCCAAGTACAGCAATGTGCATGGGTGTTACCCAGTCCTGAATGAGGTGTTGCCCACACAGGGAGCAGCATAGGTTTGGGCTGCGAAGGGAGGCCTGGTACCTTTATTCCCCCACACAGCAAGCCTGGCTCAGAAACTGTCTCCTCACCCCCAGCACAGCACTAGCTGCATGGTAACCCCCTGTGCAGGGGGTTCACTGGCCTTGGCTCTGGTGACCATGGCTCTCTCCTCTCCAGCTCACCCACAATGCTTTCTTATTGCCCCAAAAGCAAATGTGTAGCAGGCAGCCCCATACCTCTGCCATGAGGAGGCACTAAGGCTGGCACAGCAGGGCGGGAAGTACAGCCTGGACTCCGCATGGGCACCTTGAGTCTGTGGTCTCCCGGCTTCACTCAGGGCTCAGCGAGACTCACTGGCCTGTGGCAGCAGCGGTGTCTGGGATGTTGGTTCCCTGGGGCAGGCACTCCTTGGCTCTGACCAGGCTCTCTGCTCTTCAGATCTGCAGCCTGATGAGAGGGGGGATCGCAGAGAAAGGTGGCATCCGCGTGGGCCATCGCATCATTGAGATCAACGGGCAGAGCGTGGTGGCCACGTCACACGAGAAGATCATCCAGATCCTCACGCAGGCAGTCAGCGAGGTGAGCCCACCCACAGGCCAGGCCCAGGACTTGCTGAGTCCCCTTTCCTGCTGCCCTCGCTTCCTTCCAGCTCCCTGCCAGCTGGCCCAGCAGGTTGCATCTCAGGATCACAGCTCTGCTCTTGCCCCTGCGTTGCAGCAGCTGTGACCCCTGCTGGAAGGGTAGCCCTGGTGTCACTTGGCCCTGGCTCCTCCTGGCACAGGCTGTCCTGTACTGCAGAGAATGGATGTAGGGGTTGAGGGGCCTTTTCTGTCCCCCTGTCCCTCCATCGCTCTCTTCAGTTGCAATAATGCTGAACCTTCTTGTCCCACAGATCAGATGGGCAGTTCTCAGCCCATCCACAGACCAAATCCAGCCCATGGGCCCAATCTGGCTGTGTTGTGGTGTGGCCAACAGTGCAGGGGGTGGGGACAGGGCATGGACTAGCCCCAATCCAGCTGCGTGGGGGGGTCTTGGCCTGGCCACACAGGGCTTAGGAATTTGGAAGTGGGAGAGGGGTGGCAGTATTAATTGACACTGCTTCCCTGCTGTTAAATTTCCTGACCCTGCTGTGTAGGTTGGATGCCAGGGGTCTGTGGGCTCGATCTGGCCTGCATGCTGGGGGTTGAACGTCCCTGATCTATGGCAAAATCTTCCCCCACCTCTCCCCAAAGTAGGTGAGCCTGCTCTGGAACTGCAGGTGCAGTGAGCCCTCATAGGAGGCAGAGCAGGAGCTCTAGTGTCCCCAGAGCAGGAGAACCCTTTGCAGCAGCAGTCCCAGCCAGTGCTGACCCACAGGCAGCAGAACTGAGCCAGTACTATGCTGAAGCAGTGTCGGTGTCGCATTTTACTGTCAGCTGTGATGTAACTTGATGCATCTTTGTCAGGGGTCTGGCAGCCCATGAGCCATGCAGGGGGGACCAGTGCTCTACAGCTCCAGTATGAGGAGGGAGGCCAGTGGGCAGGGGTAACTGGTGTCTCCTGAGTCTGGAGGGGCACAATTTGTGGGCGGGCTTTGGGGTGGGCCAAAAGCCCCATATCTACTCTTTTACTTCTGTGCTGCAGTTTAGTGCCCCCCTCCCCAACACGCCGCCGGCCTGTGCAGCAAAAAAACTGCCCCGTCCCGAGTAGTGCCGAGTCGCAGGCCAATCTCAGGGGGGGCATGTGCCCCCCCCTCCCCCTCCCATGCCCCCCTACCAGTCACCTGTGCCAGAGGGGCTAGAATAAGGACTTAGCCTAACACCAGTGTGTAGCAGCTTGCCTGCCCCTTGCACATCTGCAGCCAGAGCCTGGGGATCATCCTGGGATATGATTGAGAATCCCTCCAGTGGGTCAGTACACACCCCACTTGAGCCAAGTCAGTGTTCTGGCCTTGTGTCCTGTCATCATTGCTTTGTGCACGTGCCTCTGGGCACAGTTAAGGGCTGCTCAGTGTTGCTCTAGGGGTAGCTGCATTTCAGCAAAGTGAAGTACAGCCTGCACCTCCAGCATCTGTGGACCTCAGAGAGGGACAAGGGTGTGTGAGGCTCTTCTCACGAAGCTGTTCCCCGGGTCCCTTCTCCCAATGCAGGGGAGGGGGCAGTGGCGGTACTCTCCAGGACTCAGAGTCAGGGCGAGCATCTGAATGGAGTTCTTGTGGCTGATTGGCCCTGTTTCTGTAGGTCCACATCAAGACCATGCCGGCCTCTACATATCGTTTGCTGACGGGCCAGGAGCAGCCCATATTTCTCTGAAGAGCAGGAGTTTGCATTTGACTGCCTGGCTGGCACTGCACATGTTCTACCTGCTTCACTTTAGGGTTTGGGAGGAAGGAGCTGCCTGAGAGAGAGGCCAGAGCTGGGCCAGAAGAGGGTGTGCTGGGCCCCCCACCCTGACTGGCATGGACTCTTTTTGCCTTCTCAGGCTCTCCTGTCCTGCACCCCAGATCCAAGGAGGGACATGAGGGCAAAACCTTGGGGCTTTTGTAGAAGGTGCTTTTTGCAGCCTCACTATGTGAGGGCGCCCTGCTTTTGGCCTTAGTATTGTTTCAGGGCTTACGCAGTGGCCCTGGCCTTTCTCCTGTACCTCAGTTCACTTGCTGCCTTGCTCCCCACTCACTCAGCTGCTCTACACAGCACAAGTTGCCCATCTTGACAGGGTGCAATCCTGGTCCTTTCTGTAAGGCTCCAGAGCAAGGTAGAGAGAGCCTCTCTCTTGGCTCCCTCTCTATCCCTCAAGCTTGGAGTACAGGGCAGTTCTGTGTTCAGAGCAGCCCATGCAAATGCTCCTAGTCTCAACTGCGAGGACCTTTAACCCAGCAGGTTGCGTTAGCAGGAAAACGCTACTGCTGCAGAACCAGTGGTCCCCAGGGTGTTGCCCTGGAAGAGCTGGATCACAGTAATGTTCAGACAGGGCTCGGGCTGCCCTGGGTTGTGACCTTACACTGTGACGTTCTGCTCCTCAGGCAGAGAGGCCCCAGCCTTGTCATGCCCCCCTGCTGAGGGCAGAAACGCTAACTGCCTTATAGCTAGCAGCTCCTCCAAGGGCTGCTGTCCCCCGAGTTGGTCCAGGCTGCCTGCTCCACCCCCAGACTCACTGCTCCCTCTAGCCCTGCTGTCAGGCTCAGCTCCTGCAGAAAGTGGTTGCCAGACTCTTCCTCAGGGCATGGGGTGGGGGATGCATGGAGAGATTCTTCTGTGGGAGCTGTTGGCAGAGGCAGGGCTGCTGTGTCTGGGGCTGTGATTCCCAGGCTTCGCTTGCCCCAGGGAGCACCACCTCTGTCACTTTATCCCGTCTGGTTGGTGGGTGCAGCAATAAAGGCTCTTTGGGACTTTCATTGGTGGTTGCACATGGCTGGACTCCTGCCTGGGCATCTGTGCGGTGGCTAGTTTGCAGCTGTGGGGACAGTCTGTGGCCAGTCCATGCACAGCTTCACCTTAACTACAGCCCTTAGAGCTCCTAGGTTTGTACTTTTGGGATGACCTTCCAGATGCCCCAGAAGGACCTCCAGCAGCCACATGCTGCTGTGCTGTTGCCATGTACATGCAGAGGCTAACGGGCCCTCGGGCAGCATGAGGCCATGTCGCTCCCAGCTTCTGTGAGCTGCCATGGGAGCAGCCGTCTGCTGTCTTGTGTCCCCTACAGCATGCAGCTTGCTGCCATGGGTGCCAGTGGAAACGGTGTGGTAGAGAGACTGGTGCGTTAGTGCTGGCAGAGATGATAGCAGCTTGCTGCCAGGTCTGCTCTGGGCCCTGGGATCCTTCCTATAGCCTACCCTTGCCAGCTGGCCAGGGGCTGTCCAGATGGCAGCCTGTGGGCCCCATGTGGCCTGCAGGAGGTTAAATTGCAGCCCCCAGGTTCCTGCTCAGCTGCCAGTCCCCCAACGCTCACTGTTTCAACACAGCCAGTCTCCAGGCTCCCTGCTCCTCTTCCAGCCTTCCCTGCCTGTTCTGGTCCCAGGGGCTGTGGGCAGGGGAGCTGAGGGTCCAGCAGTGGAAGGGCAATGGCGGGGGCAGGGAGGTGGAGGACAGGTAGTCTAGGGCTCTGCAGAGCAGCCCCTGCTGGGGCCTGCTGAGAGGTTGGACAGCCCCGATCTAAACCCTCCAATGTGCCCCCGCTGTTGAACAAACAGCAAGAACTAGTGAAAGGGACCCCTTTATTACAAACCAAACCCTGGGGAAAGGCTGCCTGTGTCTGTACAGCACTGTACACGCAGCTGCTCTGTCTGTAGGGTCACGCACATAGTCTTGCAGGGGCTGGAGCTGGGGGAGCCTGGTGCCACATGTCACTGAGATGACACTGGGTTGGTGTTGCTGCAGGCAGCTGGGACAGGGCAAAGACCTAGGGTCTGGCCACACACATGGCTCATGTGTAAGCAGCCATAGACTACAGGTACAATTAGACTAGGCCTGGCCCAGCTGCTTGCTGCGCCAATGCAGATGTCATGATTTAGGTGGAACCAGAGCTATGCTAGTCTGTGGATGGGGCAAAGCCCTTGAGCAGATCAGGGCTAGGCCAGCAGAGCATGTATAGGACTGAGCTGGGCCTGGGCCTGCCCCTCATGGAGCTGGACTGGGGAGTGCACATAAGAGTGGCAAGGGCCAGACCACAGCTCCAAGGGGAACAAGTCCTCAAAGTCCTCATTGTTACACATCAGTGGCCGGGCCCCAGTCATAGTCTTCATCTTGGTCAGAATCATAGTCCCTGGCCCGTGTGAACTTCTTCTTCAGAGCATCATGCTCGTATTCCCTGTGGGAAGAGGCTGGCATCACATCCTGGCCGGGTGACACCAATGACCCAGTGACAGGGGTATGGAGAATCATACAGGAAGTCTGGAGCCCCAGGGTTTTTACTTCATAGCTGCTGGCCAGAAACCCCTACCCAGCTCACTCCTCCCAAGTCTCAGTAGACAGCACCAGCCCTGCCCCTTGTCCTGGACAGCAGTGGCCCTAGCCTGGGCTGATCCCAGGTCTGAGGACCATGGCCCAGCCTGAGCTGTGCATAAAGATCACCTGGAGACACCTGGATGGGAGAGACTGCCCAGCAGCAAGTCCCTAAACTGAAGAGCTGCTAGTGGCCCATGGTTATCTTGCATTCAAACCTGGCCTGGGACTAGGTATCAGCCCAAAGTGCTTCCCTCATCCTCACCCAAGTCTACTGAGTGACAGAGCTCTCACCACAGGGATCTGTGAAGTTAAAAGGATCCCAGAACTGAATCCATCGCTCCAGCCTGGATCTCTTCCTGCCTAAGCAAAAAACCCAGGGAGTAGGGCCAGGCTTGGGGCAGAAGCAGCTGTCCTGAGCAGCAATTCCCCAACCCAAGTGGTCATCTACCCCTACTGAAGGAGTCTGTTGTCCCTGGAGGGCCCCTCCCTGCACTTACCGCATGTTGCTGTACTCCTGTCTCCACTGGCCCTGAGCTTGCTGGTCTCCTTCCTGGGGAAGTGGAAGTGAAGGAGTTACAGGCTGGAAGTGGAAGTGAAGGAGTTACAGGCTGCAGGGCTTGGGGGGTGGGGCAGGGCTAGCGCACTGCAGCCCCTGGTGCTTCCCTGGCAGGGGCTCAGCACAGAGGGGCACTAGTGCCAGGCTTCCCCTTTCAGCCTCTCCCAACAGCTGTGGCGGGGTCCAAGGAGCTGGGGGAATCCAGGAGCCCTGAAGCTCTGCACCTGCAGCAGTCTGAGCTAACACAGCCCCAGGCAACGATGTGCCAGGAACAGGGAAGAGCCCCTGCCCTGGACGCAGCTGAGGCCCACAGAGCAGAGCTTGGCCTGGGGGACGTTCATCACAAACAGGCCCACGTGCCCTTGTCCAATAGCCCAGCTTACCTGCGTGGTGGGATAGGCCAGTGCAGCTGCCACCCGCTCACTCAGGTTATGGGCCGGGTCTGGCTCTGCTGGTTCTGATGACCGGGCCAGCGCTGGCTCTGATGACCGGGCCAACGCCGGCTCTGATGACCGGGCCAGCGCCGGCTGGTCATAGACATCTTCCAGCTCGTTGTCTGTGTAGGCACCTGCCTCACCATCGGTGTCCTCGTAGTCACTGTTGGCACGGCTGGCACAAGGCAGGGAGCCCGAGGCCAAAATGCATATGCTTGCTCTCTCTCTCACACACACCCACAGGGGAGGCGTCCACCTGCACGGAGAGGAGACAGATTAATTGGCACCTTGCATGCACCCCTGCCCTGTGTGTGTATCTTTGGGAGGTGGGAGGGGAGGAGGCAGAGGCAGAGACAGGAGAGTGCACATGCACATGGCCACCAGCAGCCAGGGCCACCTGGTCAGCCTGGCATCTGGCTTCCCTTGGCCCTGCACCTCTGCCCACCTGTTCCCTGGCTCTGCTCATCCCTACAGGCTGCCTCTGCAGTGCTCAGTGCTGGGGAGCTAGGCAGCAAACCCAGACCAGATGCCATGCAGAGAGACAGCCCTGGCCACCCACACAGGCTCCAGCTGTGCTCTGCCAGGACATCGTGCCCATGAACATCTGGGCCTTGCTGCCAGCCCAGGGGGAGGGCTTGTGCTGTCAGTACAAGCAAAGGGGCCAAAGCATGTAGGAGCTACAGGGGAAGCACGGTATAATGAGGGCGCCTGCGGGCACCTGCTCCTCTGTTGTCCAGATAGCCCGGGCCTGGTGTGTCCTGATGAGGTCTTTCAGGGTCTGGTACCAGGTGTTGCTGCTCCCGCTGAGGCTGATGGTGGCAGTGAAGAGGTGGCTGCAGTATTTCTTCATCTTCATAGCCTGGGCGTAGAGGCGCCGAGAGCTCTTCTTGGAGTCGGGCACAAGCCACTGGCGCAGGGCCTTGATGCCCTGCCGGCTGTCCGGGTCACAGAACACCACCACGGGGTAGTACTGCACGTAGTTGAGGCGCTCCACTGCCGAAGGCGTGATGTCCAGCAGGGCATGCTTGTCCTGCAGGGGGAGAGGGAGCGAGAAACCTATTGACAGCTAGGAAGGGCTGGGACTGGGCAACATGGCCAGGCACATACTGTAGGGTGTCTACCCCTGCACCAACAGCCCTCTGGACCTACCCTGCCCTACAGGCCCGGAGCAGAGGCTTAGGAAGGGCAGAGCGCTGCATGCTCCCGGCCCCAGTGACTCACCCGCTCAGCAATCTGCCGCACCGAGTCCAGCTTGATGACCTTGGATGACCCCGTGTCTCGGGCCACGCTCACTAGGGAACAAGAGAACCGTGGCGGGGACGGTGTAAGCAGCTGTTCAAGCTGGATGCTCCCCAAGTGCCACTGGGAGAGTGCTGAGCCCCAGTAGCCTCCTGATGACCCAGCCAAGCCTGGGGCTGCATTGCACAAGGGACAGCCTGATCCATCCCAGACTGGGCACCAGCAGGGGCAGGGGAGTGGAAGGCTCCAGATGCATTTGCCCAGGCTGCAGGCAGTCCAGGGCACTCCTGGCCATAAGGTTAGTGCTGTATAGCAGCTAGCATGGAGGGGAACAGGGGATCCCATGTGCAAATGGGAAGGCCCAGGCCCAGGCCCAAGCCAAGGAAGCAACTACGACCACAGCCATGGGCACCAGGGCTCCAGACTGCAGCAGCTGCTGAACACTAGTTGGATGGTGCCAGGGTCCCTTCAATCTGTCCCCAGGGCATCACTCCCCCTAACCCTGGTCCAGGCAGAAGCCCTGCGTTCCCTCCTTACTCCCCGAGAGGCCTGGCAGGAGCAGACACTCCATTGCACTTACAGGCAATTTCAAACTGGTCGGGCATCTCAGCTGCCAGCTTCTCCATGGCGATGTCAGCGATGGGGCCCAGGATCACAACGGGCCGCTTGAAGCTGGCTGCAGAGAGGAGAAGTGTAAGCAGATGGCTTGGTGCAGGGCAGCAAGTATGGGACACAGCCTGCCAACCCCCTCAGCCTCTGACCCCACAGGATCTCCCCTGCCCAAGCTCCTGAGCTACTGGGGGAATATGCATGGTGGAGAGATCCCACAGTCTCCCAGGAGGCAGAGACAGTCTCTGCAAACCTGTTTGTTTAAATGGCAGAACTGGGCTCCAGATAAGGAAGTGAGTGGGGTTGAGACGAGATGCACCCAGGGTTGGCCACATTTGGAGCACGTGGCCCACGGTGCAGCAGGTTGTTCGGAGACTAGCACAGGCCGGGCAGCCAAGACCTTCCACACCACCCACCCAGCAACTGCCCCACAGCTGCTTCCCAGCCCCGTGTATGGCTGGATCCTAGATACCCAGCCAGGGCAGTGCTGCGAGCAGAGAGACTGCCATGGGATGACGTAGCTGACCCCATCGTGTGGGGCCGAGGCAAAGGAAGATCAGCAACTCCCACTTCAGCCCCATCCCTGCTACTGGATCAGGCAGCTCATCAGGAGCTGCTGCTTCATGGGCCTTTGGCAGCTCCCAGGAAGGTATCAGCCAGTGAAACTTCCCCACTGCCACTGCAACAGGAGGCACGGCTCCTGGCTCCCCACACCCCAGGGGCAAGAGGCTGCCAGGCCCCCAGCAGGGAGCTCACTGCCCTCAGCCCCACTGCCAGAAGCCAGCAGAGAGCAGGCACACTGAGCAGCTCCCCCTGCCAGGAGGTGGCAGGACAAGGGCCCAGGGCAACACTGCCTGGGTGAGCCCAGCCCAGCCAGCTATCCTGGAGAGAAGTGGAAGGGCATGGGGGCTCCAGTCAGCAGAAAGGCTGAGACAGCATCCAGCCCCCAGCCTGAGAGAGGGGAGATTGTGCACGTGGGGCGGCTGCATCTGCACTGGACATTCAGGGACCTGACTAGTTGCAGGGATGGTCCCCTCTCAGTGTCTCCCAAAGCACCACTGACACTGCAGCCCTTGTGCTGGAGGAGAGGTCCTGGGGTCTGTGCCATGATACAGGGCAGTGTCACTGCTTTACCAGGCTGAGCTCAGAGCAGCACAGCAAATGCATGGAGCAAGTACAGGCCACGGGCCCCAGCGAGCAATAGTCCCATCCGTCCCTGCGGGAATCTGAGATGTTGCTGCTTCATAGCAAGGCTGCAGCAGGCTGAGCAGCACCAGCTGTGGTCCACTGCAGCAACCAGGGCAGCACCCCCACACCCTCCCCAGCCAGACCCACCTTCCTTCAGCACCACCCTCTCGTAGGGAGGGTAGTGGCCCTGCTTGGTGAGCACAGACAGGTCCTCGCGGCTCTTGCGCAGGTTCTTCTTGGCTCCCCTCAGGCCCCGCAGCTTCCAGAACTCAGCCCGGGGCCCAGAGGAGCTGGGGGCGGCCGTGGCTTTCAGCACCGACTCCAGGCTGGCAATCTGCTCGGCCCTGGAATGACAGGGGAACAGCCTCAGCAATGTCCCTGTGCTCAGTGGTGTTCACACCCCCAGCTCTGCCACGTGCTGTTTGCACCCCCAGGGCTCCTGCTTCAGCATCCATTGGCAAGCGCTGCAGCCAAGAGAGGTGCTGGCAGCCAGGAACCAGGCTCCCCTTAAGCTGCAGATGCCAACTCACCATGCAGCCTCAGGCACGTCCCCCTGGCCCTCTATCCCCCTTTGCTTGTCCATGGGGAAAGGGGGAAGCAGGGAGGGACTCAGATGCCAGACAGCACCTCTTGAGAGCCCAACCGGGCGCAGTCGCACCAGCAAGGAAACATTCCCTTTTGGGTCACGTGGCCTCAGTCACTGTCTCTAAAAGTCAGGACACCGGCTTCTGCTCTCCTTCCTCAGGCTGGCTCTGCCCCAGTTGGGAAGTGGCTGTCTGGCATGATGTGACACTGTGCAGACCCCATGCCAGCTTGGTGCTGGGAGCAGGAGAGCTGCATTAGCGCAGCGCTGCCAGGGTAATGCACCCAGCTTCTCAGCACGTGGAGCCACCTCGGGCATAGCAGGCAAGAGCTGTCCCTAGGAGTGGGAGACAGCCCCTGCCTCCCAGGAAAGTTGCTATCCCCATGCACAGAGCAGACTGGGCGCAGAGGAGAGACAGTCCCACAGCAACCCCAGTGTCCTAGGGTTTAGCCCCTGGACAAGACTTCTGCCAAGGCCATCAAGGAGGCAGCTCTTCTTCTGTCTCCTTCTCCCTCCACAACTGGACTGGAGCCTAGCGAGTTGGGCATAGCAGCTTAGGGTGCCCAACATGGTGCTGGCAGGGCACAAGACTCCATGGCAGCAACATGCCTGAGCCTGGGGGGCAAGCAGATGCCCGGTCCCCGCCTTGCTCCTCAGTGGCTGCCTCTGCACAATCTGGCTGGGTGACAGCCCAGTATGGAAAGGTCTGGCTCTCTGGAAGGATGGAGGGCCCAAATTGCTGCCATCAGATGACCTGCAGCTGCACATTCCCAGGGCCAGGGAGTCCATTGCAATCTGCTCCCCACATCAGACACTGAAGAGCTTTCTTCTGCATGGGCAACAGGGTGTCTGCTGTCCCTCACCAGCTGCTGGCCCCCTCCCTCCTTCCCAAGGTCCCACCTGCTTCTGTTGGGGATGATTCCCTTATCCAGCTCCTGCAGGTCTCTTCCCATGCGCACAGCCAGCCAGCTGCCCAGCTTGCCCCGGTACATGGTGTCCACCACATGGAAGACCTCTCCCCGTGTGAAGCTCAGCCCAGAGGGCGCATCCTTCTCAAAGTCGAAGTGCGTGCGGATGTAGAATGAGTCGCCCACGTTGGACTTGATCATCTTCCTGTAAACTGGGCAGCCCCAGGCAGGAGAGACTGTCAGGGGAAGAGCAGCCCAGGGGCAGGCAGCAGGTACCTGGGAGTGTCAAACTATTGCTCAGGAAGTCCGTGGGCAGCACCGTACCAAGACTCCTGGCGGCCCCGGGCAAACTTTTAGTATAGGTCCCCCCTTTGCCAGAGATAATGATAATGATAATCATTATTTTCACCATTTTCAGGCCCCCTCCCTGTCCGGGCCCCGGGCAGGCACACAGTTCACCCATGTCTGTGTCTGGCCCTGTCCATGGGAACCGGGGTCTGCCATGCATTTGAACAGGGCTGGCCACTGGGGTCCAGTATGAGTTGTCCATGGGAATCACTTCACCCCCACCCAGGCAGAAGCCTCCTCTGAAGGCACATGTGCTATTCAATGAGCTGCGACGTCAGGGGTGTGGAGAGGCTTCATGGACGAGGTCAGGCAGATTCCTGGCCAGGCTCCTCTGCACCACAAAGACAATGGGCCGTGAAGGACAGGGGATATAACCACAGCTATCAAATGCCCCCCAAAACTTGCCAGTTACCCACATCCAGCCTGATGACAGCCCAGTCTCCTCCCCAGCATCAGAGGGGAGAGGAGGAGGAGGACGAGCACAGCGCAGGGGTGGGGTGGGGAATAGTAATTGGATCCTGAACAAAAGGCCCAAAGGGAGAGACAAGCACAAGGCTGGGAAAGCACCCATCAGCAGGATGGGAGCTCTTTAGGACAGGACAGGATAGGACTGGGGCAAAGAAGGGGCTGGGGGTAGTGATAAGAAGCCCCATGCAGGGGCAGCGAGTCACTTACTGTCCTGCTTGCGCTGGGTCTGCAGGATGACCTCCTCACCCGGCGGCAGGCTCAGGAGGTATTGCACGGCATCCTCACGCGGCAGGCTCTGGAAACTGGTGTCATTCACCTGGCACAGAGGAAGAGGCCTCATAGCTGGCACCCAGCAGCTGCCTCTGGCCAGCAGTGGCCAGGGTCTGAGCATGCTGAGGTCCCAGCCAGAGAGGGCAATGAGGGCAGGCACTGCAGGAAACCTCTGCAAGACCTGACAGGTCTGGGGGATGAGGGGGCAGGAGCCAGGAACCATTCCCAACTCTGTGACTTTGGCCAACACATGGAAGACCTTGGTGCTACCCAGCCACTACAGGCTCTGTTAGTGATGGGCTCAGCACTCCTGGCCTGAAAGCAGGCAGGAGTCTTCCTGAGCAGCTCCTGAAAAAGGGAAGCTGCAGGGCAACGGGGAGTGAGGACCTTGTGATAAAAGCAGAAATGCCCAAGCTGTCCTAGCTGTGCTGCCTCTGGCATAGCTCAGGGCAGGGTAGGGCAGCTGGGTAGAAACACACCCTGGCAGCTTGGGCAGTCTCGCAACCTCTGGGCAGGGCAGGGTGCAGCTGGCAGGAGGTGGCCAGAGGTATCCCCAGTGTTTCCGGCCAGGGTCAGCATTTGGCATGAGCAAGCAGGGACTGAGGGGTGATCACAGGGCTGGAACAACCGCGGACCACTTGGCACAATGTGTACAGTGGGACATGCTGATGGGCCAAGGTCCCCAGCTGACTAGGCCTCCTCAGGCTGACCCCCACCCAGCCTGATCAGGCAGAGCACTGGGAGGGGGTCCAGTCAACTCTGCTCAGAGACACCCCGTTGGTGGTGGCTGCAGGGGGGAGGAGGCGACTCCAGCAGGACAACGTCCCTTGCCGGAGGCACCAAGGAGCACATGTGCAGGGATGTCAGCTGCATAAAGCAGAGCCCAGGCTGCCTCAGCCCAGAGGGAGTTCAGACTTCTTCTTGGCCTGAGACCACAGGCACCACTTCCCTTCCTGGGGCCTGAGGCCAAGAGGGGCCGGGACTCGTCAGCAGCCCCACAACATAGCACTGGCAAGCCCCTCCGGTCTGGCACCCTGCCTGCCAGCAGGGAAGGGGAGCCAAGCAGCAGTTTCATTGGAGTCTCCTTCCCTCCCCCTGCCCAGGACTACCTGCAGGATCTGGTCCCCTTCTTTGATCCCCTGACCGGCTGCAGGACTCCCCTCTTGCACGCCTGCCACGAAGATGCCCACATCATTGCCACCGGCCAGCCGTAGCCCGATGCTCTTGGCCTTCACAAAGCGCACAATCTTGGCATCCGGGCTGTACCTGCACCAGGAGAAGGCCTCTGTGTCAGCCTGGGGGAGGCCAAGTGATCCTGGGGCAGCAGAAGCAGCACAGCTAAAGGAGCAGAGGCCACCCAGCACCAAACCTTTACGGCTGTTCCAAGCTCAGCTCAGCTCAGCTTCCTGATCCCGCTCCCCTTGAACTCACAGACTTGCTGGCAAGAGCTCTGCTTTTCAGCTTCCAGGGCTTTCATGCAGCACATGGCCAACCACCCAACCACCATCGTAACCTCCCAAGCCAGCCCAGTGCCTCCCTGCTTGTCCATAGGCTTGTCCTAGGCTTGCACCTGCCCATAGCCAAGTTGGGATGTGTTCCCTGGCTAGGCACAGTATCTCTGCACAGCACCAGAAAGGCCCTGATCCACCACATGCAGGAGGCTTCCCAGAACTGCTCCTGTCCCAGGCAGGCAGGAGAGCTATGGAAGGTCCCCAAGGCTGGGCCAGTTCAGGCCAGCGACTCACCCCTCCTTCTCGCTGGCTCTGGGAGTGGGGGAGCCGTAGGTGACATTGTAGCCGCCCTCCTCAGCAGCCTCTGGGGAGTCTGAAGGAGAAGATGGGAGGGAGAGAGTGAAGCAGTAAACAGTTTGCTTGACCCCCCAGGATGCTCAAGCTGCTCTGGGGACCCCAGTAGCTTTGCTGGGTGGAGACTTAGAAGTAGGGGGTCATGGGGCATCTGAGGGGCTTCTGGAGGGCAGAGAGAGCCTCTTACTGCACAGCTGTGGGAGGCAGCACAGAGGTGAACACTCAGGAGATGGTTCCTGAATGGAGCACCCATGCTGCTGGGCTCAGCTGCACGCAGAAGCACCATGTGGCAGACAGATCTCAAGAGCTCCTATGGAAAGGCTGCCTAAGAGATACCTGTGGGACCTCAACGCAGCTATGAGCCAGAGCCCTGGAGACTTCACGCTGGGCTGCTGGTGACAACCACAGTCACTTTGCGCTGGGACACTAGAGACGGTCTAGCTACTAGTGACCCAACTCCCAGCTGTCTGGAGCCAGGGCTATCACCCTTTGTCACAAGGTCTGGTAAAGCAGCAGACCGGAGACCACTGCTCATTTGCACAAGCAACGCAGTAGGACGGAGGCAAGATAGACATCCCAAGCCCCGCCATCCCCTGGCGAGCCATCCTTCACCCTTTGCCAGGAGAGACCTCCTTTTGGGGCACAGGAGTTCAGTCTCCATAACCTCTTCACCCCAACCACTCCGCGAAGACAAGGGCAACTGGAAACCTGCTGTCACACTGGGGACATGTGATGGCCAGGGCTTGTTTCGGGTGACCACTCAGCAGAAAGGAACTAGCGAGCTGGGCTGGATGCGACCCAGCAGCCTCCTGGTGACAGGCCCCGTGGACCTATGAACTGGGGAGAGCTGGACACTGCCCACAAGCTTGTTGTTTCACTGGGCCAGCACTGGGCAGGCAGGACTCACCTGAGACGGGCATTTCATTTGCTGGCCTGGCAGCTGCTGGTTCTCTGCTGCCCTGTCTCCCCTCTCTAGAACAAAGCAAGAGGTGACAGAGTTCAGAAGAGCTGCTGCAGTTTGCTGGCTCCTGGCTACAACTTTCCCCTGCTGGACAGCCCTAGGTGAGCGCTCTCTCCTCAGGAAGTCCAGGGCTCCCCTGCCCAGATCCAATGACCACTAGGCTTGCTAGGGAGGCTGCTCAAGCAGCAGCTGGAGCATGCATGTTACCTGAAAGACTCCAGCTTGTCCTTATTGGAACAGGCCATGTGGGAGACTGTTGGAGGGACGGGACATTTCACTTGCACATCAGCGTAAAGCTCACCCGTGAGGCTGAGGGGCTGGCAGGGGAGGTCCTCCCAAGGCACCGGCCAGGCCGGGGAAAGGTAGACAGAGACTAGAAGGGGGAGGAGAGGGAGAGACAGGCAGAGGCTTACGGCAGTGAATTCATCCTGGGGGGCCCTGGGAAGCGCTGGGCACTCTCTGCTGAGGGCAAATGGGACAATTCAGAGCCGATGTCAGAGATGTCTAGAACCAAAAGAAGGGAGAAATTCACATTAGGAAGCCTCCAAGCCATAGTGCTGGGTGCACCAGAGTCAAGTGCATCAGGACAGTTATTCAGGACCCTCAAACCGATGGCTGCGGCAGGGCAGGTCCACCCAATGGGCAATCAGAGGATGGCAAGGGCTGAAGGGTTCTTGCTCCCTGGTGCAGCAAGCACAAGAACCCCATGGGAGCACTCGTCAACCTGAGACAAGGTGCTCCCAGAGCACGCGGCCCTGCCACACATTTCTCCGATGATCTCCTTTTAGAAGCCAAGGCTGATGATTTTTTGCAATATTGCTTTTACCTTCAAGCTTGCATTACAAAGGAGCAGCTACCAACCAGTTTCATTTCCAGGTTCAGGGCAGAAAACCCCTCTATGCACCAGCTCTGTGATGGGACAGTCTGACCCAGGAAGGGAAACTTTTCTTAGTGTCCCTTCAGAGTGTGCCACGATTGCCTAGTGGAGTCCAGCAGTCGCCTGGGGCTCCCACCTGTGGCCAACAGCCATCAGAGTGTCTGACCTCCCTGCAGACTCATCCAATGACCTTTGGGTTCAAGCACAATTGCAGCTATGGCACCTTCCCTTCCACCTCCGATGCCACGAACAGCACTGCCAGTCCTCTGATGCCCTGGCTATGGACAGCTAGACTGTTCCCCATGGCCTGGCACCTCCCCTTACCATCCATCTGCGAGCTGTCACTGTCACTGTCTCTCACTTCAGGGATGCTGACCAGGAACTGCCGGTTGTCCCGGAGCACGAGCAGGGTCAGCGTCCCCTCTGACCGTTCAATTAGTTTGCGGGTGTCACCCAGAGACATGTTTTCACTCGTGATGCCATTGATCTAGAGAGGGAAAAAAGTTAGAACGGTGCTACCACCTCTGCCCTCCGCAGGAGGTCATTGTAGGAGCCTTTCCTTGGGCTGGAAACAGCCAAGAGCAGTAGCTGGGGCAGTTTAAACAGATCATGGCATCCCAAAATCTAGATCTCCCATTCCTGTAGGCAGCGCTCGCAGGTTAGAAATCCAATGCCAGGCAGTTGGTCTCACCATGTTAAGGGCATGCCCATGCCAGAGTTCCTTATACAAGGGCTCTTACCAGGTTAGGGCAGAGCTGTTGACTCAATGGGGCTAGGCCCAGGCTGTCTCAAGTTCCTCATAACTACTTCATAACCAGGAAAGGGATTCTTCAGAGACAACTTGGGGAGGTCTGAGGCCAAAACTAATCTGCTCGAGCACTGGGACAAACTCTTGGACACTATATTAGAATTGTAGAAAATGAGGGCTGGAAAGGACCTCAGGACGTCACATCTAGTCCAACCCCCTGCTCAAAGCAGGACCGTCCCCAACTAAATCATCCCAGCCAAAGCTTTGTCTAGTCAGGTCTTAAAAACCTCCAAGGATGGAGAGTCCACAACCTCTCTGGGTAACCTGTTCCAGTGCTTCACTACCCTGCTAGTGAGGACGTTTTTCCTAATATCCAACCTAAACTTCCCTTGCTGCAACTTGAGACCATTGCTCCTTGTCCTGTCATTTGTATCGATGACAGTGAGAAGAAAACAATCCCCGGCACTGCTAGAGAGGTTTTCACTCAGGGCCTCCAAAGCACTGCAAAGGTGGTGGGAAATATCACTGGGGCTGTCTAACTGGAGGGGAAAGTTGACTGAGGAGGAAAGGACGCTGTTGGAGCATGAGTGTACTTGGGAGGCACATACACGCATGTGCACACCCAGGCTTGCTCTTCTTCTCTTCCCGGTCTGACCACTTAAGCCGGGGACCAGGAGCTGATGGAAGGATCTCTCCCCATGGAAAAGAAGGGCCTCTGATCACACCAGTTCTGAAGGAAAGTGAGGGCATTGCTCTTTGTTCCGTCGTTGGGAATTTCCCCCAACAAGGAGCCCTCCTGGATGCGCCCAAGCTGCAAAATGTATTTGCAAATCAAGTTGAACTGTAACTGCCTCTTCCAAATCACCCGCCCAGGGAGGTGAGACTTTAGACAAAGCTCTCCTAAATTTTTATGCACTAAAAATCATCACCTCCATGCCAAGGCAGAGTTGTCATCTGCAGCAATCAGGTGATGCAGCAGGCAGCTGGCCCCTTTGAAATGCTACATCTAAGGAAAGGGTTGGGATAAACCCTGGCACCCAGGGACCAGCAAGAAAACTACTGCCAATAGACTCACTGAGGGCTCAGCCGCAGCAGATGGCAAGATCTCCAGGACACAGCCTGGTGTTTGATCCATGTTCATGCAATGGTTAGTGAGGGGAGAAAAAGGTGGTGGGGTGGGAGGCTCTGATCCATAACAGATTCCTAAGCACTGCTGCAGCATGAAACTGCTCACATCAAATTCTGCATTAAAAAGGCAGCAGTCAGGGGGCAGAGAGAAGCCCCCAATGTTAGGAAACACCAGGAGGCCTACTCCTTATGAAGATGGAGATTTTATATTGCACGCCTTTTTTCAAAGGACTCCTCAGCTCACTCATCCCCATGACAGCTCCATCCCATGAAAAGGATCAGGACTGACCAGCAAAGGAGACTGCTGTCCCTGGGACCCCTGGCCCATTTGCTGGACAAGTTGAAGGTGGACAGTGAGTGAGAAAGGCCAACAGCCTGGAGAAGCAGATTTGATCCTTGCCTCTGCTACAGAGTTCCTTCATGATGCTGGGCAAGTCACCTAACAGGACCCACTGTGTGTCCTTCATTGTCTAGCACCCAACCTGATACCCTGGGGTCCAATTTACCGAACCGCTGATCATTCATGCTGCAACTAAATCAAGGTGATCGGTGCTTTGATACATCCAGCTCTGCAAAACGTCAAGCGCTGTGAAAGAGTCAGGTCCTAGCACCCAAGAGTGGTGAAAACTTCTGACCTTAATCTTTCTCCATCTCTAAAACAGCACAAGGAGTAATACCAGGACTGGGAGAGGTGGCAATGTTCCTGGGCAGATCCGGGATCACAGCTGAGGCAGTGTGCCATATGCCCCCTAGGCACAATCCTGGATGCCAGTTTGTTCTCTGAGCTCACTGACATGTCAGCCTAGCTCCCCTTGGAGCTCCACATTTTCCATGAACTTCCCTCTTTTTACCTGCTGTTGAATTTGGGGTGGAGTGAGGTCAGGGGGGATGAGGTAAGGGAAGGGTGAACAGTGGCAATGCTCACCCGGAGCTCCAGATCCAGGTAAAAGCAGACACCACACCAAGCAGCTGGTGAGCTCAGAGCTCACAGCACACATGGAGATCCAGTAAGAGTTGCATCATAATGCCAATATGCTCAGAGAACTCACTATGCATGCTATACACAGCTGAAGTTGGGTGCAACTCTGCCCCACACCCCTTGGATCTGTCCCCAGCAATATTTATTTAGTACTCTGACACTGTAGTAATAAAGGCTGCAGAAGCAGTCCATGAGGAAGTGATTCTCTCCTCCGAGCTGGGTGTGAATAGTGTGCAGGAAATGGAAATATATTATGGGGCCACTGGTTAAACACGAGGACTGGCTGAATACCAAATAGCTGCTCCCTGAGCGTGCTACGAGGCAGCGATGTTGTGGGGGAAAACTAAGTGCTTATATGATAGAAAACTGTATCACAGGGTGTGGGCACAGACAGGCAAAGTGACTCGGCATTACCTAACTTTGAGCATTTGAATTCACAAACCTTAACGATAGTCTTTTTAAAAAACATCCGGGAACAAAATAAACACACACGAGGAAATGAAAGACCACACAAACAAGCGTAACAAATTCCCGTCCTGGGACACCATCTCAACACCCACAGCTTTCCAAGCTGCAACCTCTAGATCTTTTGCCACCTGAGCTGATAGAGGATGACAACTGGTTACTGAGGTGGGGAGAGAGTGTCACGAGAGGGGGAGGCAGGGCCGTCCCTAGGGTGCGGCAAATCAGGGCGACCGCCCCGGGCCCCGCACTTTGCAGGGCCCACCTGGAGCTGGCGGCTCAGCACTGCATTGCAGAAAAAACAGAGACCACCCCCCATGCAGGGGTACCATGGCCCCACACAGTGTTAAGGGGGCCATGCACAGGCTGATTTGCCCCGGACTGTGCACCCCCCTAGGGTCATCTCTCGGGGGAGGAGACATTGTCCAGTGGGTTTCGCAGGTAGTCGCTGACCGCGAGGCAGCAGCAGGACTCCAGAATCTCAGGTGCCATCCCAGACGCTGCAAGGCCTTGTCCTCTGCGGGGACAGACTCTTCTGCCTCCTCCAGTCTCTTCTCCTCTTCTACCTCCTCATGACAAGCCCATTCTCCTTGCCTAGCCAGTTCCCCTTTCCAACTTCTTATACCAGCCCCTTTACCCAGCCAGTTCTGGTCTCCCTTTCCATGCTCACAGTCTAAGCCCCAGTTGCCCCACCTCCATGCCCACCTCCTTGTTTAGTCAGTCCCAGTACCCCTTCCCAGCTCCTCATCCAATTCGTTTCCCGCACTGCCGCTGGCGTCTCATCCAACCTCATTCTCTCCCCACCCTAACTTTTTGTTCTAGCTTTGCTCCCTCCCACCAGCTTCTTATCTGACCTTGCTGCTCCTGATCCCAGGTCAACTGAGATAGATAGAGACTGATCCCTATCCTCACATCCAACAAGTTGTCTTAGGCCCTGTGCACAGAAACTAAAACAAATTGGCCAATTGTAATTTCTGTCCTAGTCACTGGGTGGAGAAACAACTTTTTTCAGAGCAAAAAAGGTTCCTAATTAAATACAATTTAAAATCTTTGTTTTTTTAACCAATCTGAGTTGTATCTAAATAGCAGGCTCTCACATTTGCATGCCCACAGCCTGCACTGAAATAGCTCAAGGTGAGACTTGCAGCTGACTGAGGTTAGATCACAACTTGAAGACGAGACAGCTAGTGCAGGACTGGCCCAAATCTGTTGCTCTCGCCTTTCAGCCCTGTGGACCAAAGGAGTGGCATGGGGCCAGTCCAGGGGCCAGATCAGCCTCACATGTCAAGGCTGAGCCCACATATCTGGATCAACCCCATGTTGCCTCAGCTGGCCCCTGCATGCTGGGACTAGACCCCAAAGTCCCAAGCTTCCCCACCCAGCCCTGCGTGTCCATGCCACCCCCATCTGACCCTGCACACTGGAACTGGGCTCTGGGACCCTGTGCCACCCCCACACACTGGGATCAAGCCTCACACCACCTTGTGTGCCTGATCTAGTGTGCAAGGCCACAGCCCATTGGGCTCCCCATGGACTCATGCTGGATCTGGCCAGGGGCTGAGTATCCTTGGCCTGAATGGTGCAGGGTCTGACTTGAGCTCCTGCATTTGCATGGCTCTGGAGCCCAGAGGGTGAGCACTGCCACCATTCCCCATTCCTATCCCTTCCCCACCCTCCATAAAACCCAAAAATTACTCATAGTCACCTGCCCCAAGAAAGCTAAGTAGCTGGCTAAAGGGATGGCAAACCTGCCCTTTGTGCAGTGAAGACAAAGCCCTGGTTAACTTTGTTTCTGTTTACTGTGTAGGCAGAACCAAAGGTTCATTGGCACCAGCTGAAAGGGTGCGAAATCCAGTGCTGTGCATGCATTGTCCAGTGGGCGTTCCCCTCCACTTGGTGTAGACCACCCAGGGGGACACCCCGTGCCCTGAGGCAAGCAAGGAAAACCTGGAGCAGGCAAGCAAAAATCGCTGCCTGTTACACCCATGCACCCGAGGGCTCTTTGGAGGCATGGATTGCAGCTCTGTAAGTAAGGCTTTGCATGGTATCTCTTTGCAGCCTTCACAAATCTTTCAACTTTGCTTTGGTCCCAAGTATACTTTGAGAGAAGTGCTTGAAATGTGAACTCTTGAGTGAGCAGTGCCCTAGGGCATGGGTGGATTTCTACTCCGGTGGTTCTCCTTGTGCATTGCCTAGCTGCACAAAGGCGCAGAGAGGAGTGTTCTCTGCTGGCATATGGCACCTTTATGTCAGAGGAATTGCACCCATCACGTCCAGGAGTTGTCCCAGTAACTGTATGAACAGAAGACCACAGTCTTCCCAGAACAGATAAAGTAGTGCAAAAGCTGCCTTGTTCACAGACACTGGGCCTACAAGGCTTTCTCCAGTGTTTCAGGCAGGAGGTCTCAGCCATTTCCGGAGACTTTTGGGTTCACACCACAGCAGGCAGACCCCTCACATGTGAACCAATTATGCTGTTCTGAGGGCAATACCACCACGGAGGTTTCTGCAGTTAACACCACAGCGGTTGGGCCCCACCACTGTCAATAGACTTTGAGCATGAAACTCCTGCAAGAGTAAATTTCAGACACCAAAAAAAGAGGTAGGAGATGCCCGTGACTCCTCCAGTGCGCATCCTGGAGACAAGACAACATGGAGTGGTAAAATCCTGTTAGCCAGCTTCATTTCTCTCACTTGCACCCACCTTTAAATCCTGGTCCAGATAAAGTCATAATGGCAAACAAATAACCTAACGGGCGATGGAATGATGATAGTCACCCCATCTACAAACCACTGTGGGGATAGGGGGAACAGTGTAATATAGTGTCTCACTCGCTCACCAGGCTGCACCCAAATGTCCCTAGAGGTCATCTAGGTAGGGACAGTGGTAAGCCCTGAAGTGAAACATTCACGCATCAGGGACAAGCTGATGCCAGTCCCTCTGGTCCTCCACCTACCTTTAAGATGAGGTCCCCCTCCTGCAATGAGCTGTCCTTGGAAGCCAAACCGGATTCTGCTATGTGTTTGATAAAGATCTGGCTGCCCAGCTTCAAGCCATATTCTGCAATCCAGGAAGAAGAGCAAGGTTCAGCAAATGGGACTAGAGGAATCCCAGACCTGGTGTGCAAAGCTGAGAGCTTACCATGGGCCATGGAGCCCAACAGGCGCCTCCCCACACCCTCATGACTCCTGCTGCGGAGCTCGCTGGGTGATACCTTATTTAACTAGACTCTACATGTCGAAAATTTAGGAATTTGTTATTGGGTTCTTGGTTGTAGCCGTGTTGTTCTAAGGACGTAGTCAAGCAAGGTTCTTTGAGTAGATGTGATATCTTTTATTAGACCAACTGAGTAGTTGGGAAAAAAGTTCTTATTAAGCTTTCGGGTGCAGGCACCCTTCTTCGGGCACAGGGAGTCTCCGCTGGTCTGAGACTCCAGTGAGAATTTCTTGGAGTCTCAGACCGGCAGAACGGTGCCGGTGCCCGAAGAATGGTGACTGCACCCGAAAGCTTGATAAGAACTTTTTTCCCCAGCTGCTCAGTTGGTCTAATAAAAGGTATCACATCTACTCAAAGAACCTTGCCTGCCTATGAATTCTAATATTATAAAATCCCTAGTCTGTCTTTCTGTCTGTCTGTTCATAACGCTTTATTTGCGCTCTGATTGGCTGACTGAAACAGCCAATCAGAGTGTGAATAAGCATTCAGACAGAAGGTGGCAGTGCAGCGGAGCACCGCCACGATGGTGGGGACACGGGACGGAGCAGACGGAACCGGGGGGGGGGGGGGGGGGGGGGG